CATAAATTCCAATCCAATTGGATTCTGATTCCATTCGATCAATTATTGCCTCCTTACTGGAAATAAAGATTTCATTCATACGTTGAACAGGGATCGGTTCCAGAGAATCTACCAACGACGTTGAACTTGAAGGTTGAACCGGCGTTACTGGTGTGGTGGAAACGGGTGTTGATGGTGCATAGGCACCATAACCTGTGGTTGAGGCCATACCTCCGAGGGGGTTATATGGGCTTGTTTGCTGAGGACCGCTACGCGACAAATAACATTACACGTCAGTTCCTCGTGGCAAAAGATTATAAATTATAAATTACGTAGAAAAGTACTTACCGATAAGGACCAACAGTAGTCTTATCGGTCTGAGATCTGCCCCACGACAAACGTACTCTAGAGTTTCCTATTAATTGAAGAAGTATCATTATTTTTTAAACTGAGTTGCGCTTATAAAATTCTAAATAAATTAAAAATACCAATTGGGTAATGTTGCATTTGGTTAATTGCCATTTCGGCACTCTGTCTATGAACAAATTGCACAAAACCACAACCTTTACCAGGTGGTATTTTTACATAAGTAATTTCTCCAAAACCTTGAAAGTAGCTATAGGTGGTAACATAAACGATTCAAAGATTAATATTTATCTAAGTATGGTAATTAAAAAAGTTAAAATGATCCATATGTACCTTCTCAATTCTTCTTCGCTATTAACGCCGGAAAGTCCGCCGACAAAAACGGTAGTATTATTCGGATCGTTATATTGGTTTAGGACGGGATTTGGTTGGGTAGGCTGCTGATAGAAATTTCCTTGAAGGCCAATTTTGTTTTTCGGTGTCGCTGTGGAAATTCGCATTTGTCGATTACCACAGAACGCACCTTGCATCTCTACAAGAGCGCGCTGTTGTTCAGATTCTTCACCAAACCTAACAAATCCGTATCCTATTCGTACAAAAAAAAATAAAAATAAATAAGTAAAGTAAGACATTAATAATATGCTTAAATAATTCGGTTTGTCTTTTTCTTTAACTTACCGCGAGACATGCCAGTCATAGGATCAGTCATAATCTTAGCAGATTTACAAGTGGTGTACCGTTGTTGAAAAACGGACTACAATAAGTAAGGTACTAATTAGATAAAAAGGAACCAAATTATATTCACGGTGAAAGTTATTATTAATTTAACATACCACCAACATCCATTCATTTACTTCTGGTCCCAAATCACCAACAAAAATCGAAAATTCCGGACCACGATCATCCCTACTCCATAATTAGGAAAAAAAAAAAAAAAAGTGATAAATCAACACATACGATCGATATAAAAATCAAAGGTTTTACTATAAAATGTTAAGATGCATTACTTTCTATCAGTTAATCCGCCTCCAGATGCCCAATTCAATTTAAACAATCGATTGGTACCGGGAATTGGTGTCCCATTTACTGTATTTAATGCTTTGACCGCGGCAGCATTACTTACGAAATCCACAAAGCAGTAACCAGCATTCGCTCTATTGTAAAATATATGAATTTAATCCATCATGATGATTTTTTAAAATAATTATGAGCCTCTTAAGATCGTACTTACCCTGTGAACTTATCTCTAATGAATTTTACGTTCACGTTTTCGCCAAGTTGGTACCAGATCTGTCTTATGTAGCTTTCGTCCATCCACGGCTCAAGCTCGCCCATCCTAATGATAAAAGATTTGTAAGGTTATGCTTGCTTTTAAAAGTGAAAACACCAAATTAAAATTACCATAGTGTTGTTTTATTTTCTGCACTGCCTCCGTAAGGTGGCTGTTGCTGATATTGTTCATATTGATATGCCATGTTCGTAAGAAAGAAAGTAATGAGGTTTGCAAAAAGAAAAAATAATGTGAAGAACACTTGATTAACTTTGATTGAAAGTGAAACGACACGTTACAACCTCGTTGACCAAAAATTTAAAAATAATTTTGTTTTTTTTTAACAAATTGAAAAAAAATCCGCACATTTAAAATAAAAAAAAGCTGATTATGTAATGAAAATCATCAAATAGCATTTCGTCACATGACTAAAATTCATGTATAAAAATAAAAAATAATTCACTTCCATAATTTTTTTTTTTTATTTTTTATTTTAAACCCCCTAAACCCTTGACCAAATAATAATAAAAATATATATCAAACAAACAACCAACATTTATCTAACGTATTATGATTTATTTATTAAACAGATATTTAGAAGTTTTCCTTGGTTGGTTATTAATCTTTCAGTTGTAACATTCTTTATTCTCTGATAAATAATGGATTTTTGTTTGTTTATCCTTTATTCTAAGGAATCCAGGCTTTTATTTGACTTAATGAATTTGGTTCCAGATTCATTGATTAAAGGTTAGCTTTTTATTCCTATGATATAAATAAATAATTATTATACTGCGTTATGATGTATAATTTACCATGCTAATTCTGATTTATTATGAAAGAAAAAAATTCTCATTTATTACTGAACGCAGTAATTATTATTTATTTATTTATTCTTTTTAAAGATACGCTTTTATTAACAAGTTTTATCTATAGGATTTCGATCAAGATCAAAAGGTGGCTAATATTTTTCGTCAAGGTTCTATCTTATTTATGTGAAAATGTAAATATGTTTAGATTTTTATCTCGTTTATCACAATTAAAATCAAGTTTAATAAAGTTAATTCACATGCTATAAATCCGAGATTATTTTTTACGTGTCAAAAATTTAATTTGTTCGAATCTTCGAATTCGTAATTTAAAATATCTTGAGAATAAATATTCCGTAATTAATACTAGGCATAATGAAATATCAATTAACTGGATTTTTCATGTGATAATATTTACGGATGAACCGTGGGTGTTTTTAAAAATTGTTAAATTTCACCCTTTTTATTCGCTTTGCATAAATAAAACAAAAATATCAAACGAAACTAATCAAACTTACCTTGACATCAACAAGATAAATCCGTAAACAAAGGAATAAAGATGATGGATTAACGCTTCGATCCTATTCTATCACATTGTTAATCGAATTTCCTGGTTTTATAAAAACTCAGACATATTATCATTCTTGATTCTTTCCGCATATATGAGAAAATCATAATCGCCGGGTGCATTGTTGGCGTAATGAATTTCTTGCGTCCCTACAAAATTTAACGATTGCGGAACAATAATTCTTCCAAATGTATTTACACCGAATTCTTTAAAGTTTGTAAAGTACCATGAATATGTGTTGTGTTTAATTTTTTCAGCATGGGTATGACTTTGTAAAGAAAATCTTACCTATTGCTCAGTCTCTTAATAATAAGGAGCGGAAAAGGTTCGCTTATATGATCCAATTCTACAAGTCTTTTTTCTTCACTAATTTTTGTTTTGGAACTTTGCAAAAGCGCCAAAATTGAACCCCCAGATATTTTCTATCAATAACGGATTGGTATATAGGGTAGGTAAATGTCAATAGTTAACTAGAGAATAATGGGCTTGCTAGTGTCTGAATTTTCAGATTATGTGATTTTTTTTAGAATACGTACTCTTATACGATTCCGCAAATATTTGTATTTTCTTCTAGTAAATAGCTGAAGTGCCTTCATATTTATATATTTTGCTTTTGCCCACATTTCGGACTTTGGTTTTTTTTTTATAAATTCGTCAAATTTCATTATTAATGTCACCATTTATTATAAAGGTATGCAATATTCGTATGAGAATAAGTGCGTCATAGATCTTTTACAAATATTTGTTAAACATTGGATAAAATCGAATGAAGGAAGAATTATTCATTTACGACTTTATTCACAAAAAGTAAATTTGTCCAAAAATAAAAAATTTTCACATCGCGTAAACAAATTATATAATGAGAATTATCGTTATACATTAAACAAAAAAAAATTTTTTTTGATTCTTTGATTAAAATAATTGAGTGATTTAATCCAAAATACCTTGGGAAAATTAATTATGATTTATCCACACGGTTGACCTCAGGAACTTAAGCTTCTAGTTCTGCGATATTTAAATCTTATGTCGGTCGTATGATAATTTATCGAAAATTTTTTTTCCGTCAAATCTACAAGTTTATACGAGAGGGAGTCAATATATGCATATTTGATGTTCGGATCATGTGATTTACTATGTCTCATAACCTAATTTTAATAGCATACGACCCATTTGACTGAGTAAATTATGCAAACATGAACAAAAGCGTGGAGGATGATAAATCAACAACAAACAAAAATAAAAAATAGAAAGCAGTATTTTAAAAAGAACGTGAACCTGTCGCAATCAATAAATTGCTGTAAAGAACTCTTAATTAAAAGATTAGATATTAAAAATAGCAATTTTTTTAAAAATTTTTTTACAAAAAAACTCTTTCCCCTTTTCCACAAAAATCACTAAAAATGCCAATTACCAGACAAACGAAAATTAATAATGCTCGAAAAAAAATCTCAAACTATTACAAATAACAAAAGAAACAATAACAACTCTAACGACAACACTGCCCCAGCTCTTCAAGCAACACTAACGAACAAACAGAACAATCAGCTATTCCAAAAAAACAAAACTTTCAACCGATATTCCTTCTCCAACACAAGATACTCCTTACAAACTATTATCGATAATTAGCTATTGGCAATGATACCCCAGGATCTGGAAAACCTCTAATAGGGGTTTACCGCCAGAGGACTGAGATTTTTAAAAAATGATTACATGATTCGAAAATTTATATTGCCGCTTTTGGATGATTCGCAAATGTAATATGTAAATAAGTTACTGTATATTGTATGTTTCGCAAACATATGATAACGTAAATGTATATATATTTGTTTAATCTTGAAAGTTTTTTAAAATATGATAATACAATCTCAGTCTGTTAGAAGCTGAACCAACAACACTTCGTAATACCCCTTTTTGCTTTTATTAACACAAACACGAAACACAGAACATGATCATTTTAACTTTATGACCCGAAGTTATTGTATCCAACTGTTATTCAGTTTTTATTTTTACTTTACAATGCCACCAACTTGTCTCCAAAATCCAATTGCTGTTCTCGTTTTAGATCTCTTACAAATTTTGATAAAATGTTCGATGAAAAAACTGTTTGTTGTAAATGTGGAGTTATAGTTTGACTAGACAGCCCTTTTAGAACAATAAATTTTGAAAGACATTAAAAGCCGCAATTGCATTCTTAATATTGATAATCATCCAAGTTTACATATATGTTTTTTTTGACCAAAGCAACGATGCACAAGAAGAGCATGAAGCTGAGTGAGTTGCCTGAGCCTTTACCTTGTATTGGTTTATTTGATGGCTTGTATACAGAATATGCTACTAGTTTTCCAGCAATTTTTTGGTGGTGGAAAAAGGCCTGAAATGATTGGAAAGACAATTTTTCCTGAAAAATTTTCATAAGATACTTCATTTTCTTGTAAGAAACTTAATAAAGATCAAATTCAACATTTTAATACTGCATTACAAGCAACAGTACTTGGAAAATAGATCATTTTGAAGGAGTGTAAATTGTCCAATTATGACAAGATCATCAGATTTATGTAATGAATGTGATAGTTTACAAAATAATAAAAGATTAAGAGAGGCATTAAAGATTGTAAGTTAATTAAGTCTAATTCTTTATCTGCTAAAATATTTTAAAGATTTTTTTTGGTATTAGAAATGTGCAACACCTCCAACAATCCAATATATACCAAAATTTATTTTGATAATTCTTTGGTTAATCTTTTGAAAAATAAAAATCTCAGAAATCTTTGAACTTGCATTGTTACCAATATTATTTAGTAATGTAACTCAAATGGGAATGAATAGTGCTTTTAATAGTGAAAGAACATTTACAGAATTAGCTTTATTAATATTACAAATTAAAAAAAAAGAAACATAGGTATTAATATGAAAGGTTTGTGATATTCTGAACATCTTACATATTTTTTAGCTTATTATCAGAAAGTAGTTATGAATATGAGATTTTTCATAAAGCATTAGGAGGAATATCAATTCAAAAAATTCGGTATATACATTTTTATCTTTAATATTTCATATTTAAGCCAATTATGCAGATTCAAATTTAGTCTTAGAGAATTTAACAAAATTTGCAAATATATCAAAGGATTAAAATGGAAGTGACCAATTTTATTTATGATTGATTGTACCAAAATTCATTTTAAATTAATATATACTCAAGAATATGGTTATATTACTGAATCCGCTTTATCTTCAAATGAGGTCTCATTTTTTAATATTAATAATATATATGCAAAATTAAAACACATGTATAAGAAGAATACAATTGCAATACAAGTTCAAATTATTATACTCAAAGTTTTTCTTTTTTTTAATTAAATTTTTTTTTATTATTTATGTTTACCTAACATTAATTAAATTGGATTTCAATTGGAAAATTACCTCCAATTCCAATTGCTATTTTGCCTACCAAATGTAATGAATCTGCAGAACAAATTTTTAATATTCTTCAAACTGTATTAAATTATATACATCAGAGTAATATCAATATTCTCAGTATAGGAGCTGATAGTACATGCTCAGAATTTAATGCTTAAATACAACTTATAAATTCTGCATCAACATATTTTATATTTGATGATCTATTTTATAATGTATACAGTTGACCCCCTCTATAATCACACCTCTTGGGACCATGAAATAGTGTGACTATATGAAGGTGTGCTTATACCAAGGGATTTATTATTATAATCACTTATATGTAAAAAATATTGTTAGTG